AGAGAGAGAGAGAGAGAGAGAGAGAGAGTGAGAGAGAGATGATATTAAAGTACAATGTATATGTCATATAGTATTTGCAGTTAATTTTTTTTAATAACTTACTTGGTTCAAAATCAACAGTTAAATCAAACGGTTCACCACGTTTAAGTTGACAAACTCCGCTCCCATTGCATGATTTGATGTCAAATTTAAAAGTTTCTCCAAGGTGACTACTATTATCTTTAATACATTAATTAATGTACAATATTTAATTTTATTTTATATGCTAGGTTTTATTTTTAAAAAAATACAAACAGCAGTTCCTAAATGGGACATCATTTGCTGATACAGTTGTGGCCAATAGTAGTGCCAAACATACGACTAATGCAATCATTTTGTTTGTTTTCTAAAACTATTTGCAAGTTTCCAAATGTAATTTCTATTAAAATTCTGTTTTGAATGAAAAAATTAAGCCTTATTTAAATAAAAATTTTTTTAATTAATAACATATTAATCTGATATATATACTGTAGATTATAATATCCTGTTATTACACCATTGGTAACTAATTACACCATAAGCTGTATGAACTTGAGCGTTGTAAATACTGCACAATTATTATTTTTCCTGTTAATTAACTCAAGCACTATTATTGATACAGATTAGAACTTATTAGATTGTGAACTTAAGCGCTTGAAATGTGTTATGCTGATTATAAATGTAGATTTATTGTTAGAACATAAAATTGCACAATATATGATCTAGATAACTTACGGGTACCTAAAGTGGCATTGTTTGGTTTTAAAACTTGGGCTCAATTCACCCAAAGCTACACAAATTCCAAGACATCCAATTAATTAATATACTGTGTGTAATAAATAAAATGTTATCGTTGTATGTTAAATTGAAAATTACATAAATATTTTGATGACATGCTAAAGCATTAATTTATATGCAACATATCTATATAAGAAGTGTAAACGTTGTATTTGCATCATGCACAATGCAAAGCTACGTATGCTACTGTATTCTAACGTTTTGCAAACCTCCTAAAAGTCCGTATAAGCCTAATCACAAATAAACATTTTTCTTATGCCTGATACAATAAGATAACATGTATTTTGCCTAAATTCACTTTTGTCAAAATGTGCTGGCCCATCGTTAAAATTATAGGTTAAACCAAAAATATGTTAATAATTATTTAAATATTTTGATGACCCTTATAGAAATGAGGTTGAAAATTTAAAATTACGTAAAATTATTTTAATCTATAGATGGAATACACATCACCTGAAATTCCATCACTAATTTTAGGTTAAATTAAAAATATATTAAAAATTATTTTAATATCTCGATGACAGACAGCTCACCCCTTATAGAAACAAGGTTAAAATGATAAATTAAATAAAATTACTGAGAATTATAGGTGGAATGACAATGCAGGTAAAATCCCATTAAAAGATACTAGGTTAAATTAAGAATATATGAGAAATTACTTAAAACTATAGGTGGAATATACATCCCATTAAAATATTTTAAGTTAAATTATAAATATATTAAAAATGATTTAAATATTTTGATGACAGACAGCTCAGACCTTAACAGGGGTAGAGAAAATAGGTTGAAATTATAAATTACGTAGAATTACTAAGAATTGTAGGTGGAATAAAAATTCCAGCAAAATCCTTTCAAAAATTTTAGATTAAATTAAAAATATACTAGAATATAATTAGAATTGTATGCGTATAATAAAGATGGTGGATAAATTAGAATTAATAAAAACAATTTGGTTTAATTTTTTTTATTAAATTCTTAAAACTATTATAAGAATAATTAAAATAATTTACATAAATAAGATAATTTTAGAATATTTATGTATTATGCATTCAAATAATTAGTTGATAAAATCCAAATCAACCCTGGTGCAAAACAATAACTCATCTAAATTAATATCAACTATGGTTGTCAATAGTTGTATGCGTTTAGCGTTGGGCAATAGATCTACGGGTAGAGTGCTATTCAACTCTAGACTATTCTTATGATCTTTACGTATTGGACAGTCTGTGTGATGACAGGTGTTGCCATCGAATTCTGGTAACAATGGATCAACCTGGACCCTCACTTCTTCACCATGGTAATCGTAAACAGCGACCAAGATTATGGTCGAATTACTATCATCTTGCTCTATTTAGAGAGAGAGAGAGAGAGAGAGAGAGAGAGAGAGAGAGAGAGAGAGAGAGAGAGAGAGAGAGAGAGCGA